GATAAGAGGCCACAGTTTGGACAGAATACTGAGGAACAGAATATTTTCCAATCAGCAAGTGGGTTAGACAAGGCTATCATTTATCACCTCATTTGTTTAACTTGTATGCTGAACATGTCATATATAAATCAGGATTAGACTCAGAGCAAAGAGGCATAAAAATTGAAGGAAGGAACATTAACAATTTAAGATATGCAGATGATAACATAATACAAGCAGAAAATAAACTTGGAATAATTGCTGAAGAAAGTCAAGGAAGACAGTGCAAGGTATGTTTAAAGATGAACATTAAGAAAACTAAAAATAACAACCTGAGATGATTTACATAACTTTAAAGCAGACAATGAAGACATTGAAATAGTTCAAGATTTTGCATGCCTTGGCATAGTCATTAATCAGAATGGAGACCACAGCTAAGAAATTAGAAGAAAATTAGGAATTGGAAGGGCAGCTATGAAAGAACTAGATTAGATCCAGAAGTGTGAAGATATATCATTGGACACTAAAGTTAGGATGTCCTGTGCCATCACATTTCGTACTTCTATATATGGCTGTGAAAGCTGGACAGTGAAGAAGCTGATAGGAAGAAAATTAAAACATTTGAAATGTGATTCTGAAGAAGAGCTTGACATGGACTGCTAAAAAGACAAATAAATGAGTCCGAGGGCACATTAAGCCTGAACAATCTCTAGAAGTCAAGATGACTAAACTGAGACTGTTGCATTTTGGACATATCAAGACTTAGTAGACGAGACAATAATAGTTGGCAAAGTAGAAAGCAGTAGGAAAAGAGGAAGATTGCTTTCTGGATGGATAGATTCAATCAAGGAAGCCACTGTACTTGGTCTACAAGACCTGTGGAGGGCTGTTGATGATGGAGTGACTTGGAGGTCTCATTCATAGGGTCACAATTTGTTGAAATTGGTGATGGCAATTAACAACAACAAGAACTGTAAAGCATCAGTCAGAGGTTGGACTCTCTAAGGAGATTATCACATTACCTTTCGCTCCCAGCATAGATGCAGGATGTAACTTTAAGAAGGTGGATCTTATCACAGTCACCCATCTCTGGGCTGCAGGCAGCCTGTTTGCAACCTGGCTTCTCTTGAATCTATTCATGAATGGGATCTTCCCATTCTTGAAAAGCTGCGGCAGAAGCCCGGGTTGCAATTGGCCTGCCTGCTGCCTGGCAATGGATGAATGCAATAAGATCTGCCTTCTTAAAGTTACATCCCGCATCTGTGCCGGGAGCAAAGGTAAAGTGATAATCTCCTAAGGCAGGGCCATAGGTCAACGTCCAAGGTGCCCAAGTACAAATGAATATGGCTGGAGGTGAGGAGAGCAACAGCAGGAAACCCCATTGGCTGGAGCTCCAGAAACAATATCCTTATCAGCTTTTGCTCTAAAACTTAGTTTTTGGGGCTGTACAGACCAGCACTTTAGGCCGGCCTGGGGGTGGAGTAAGAGCATGGCAACAGCATGCCGGCTACCCTGATGATGCCCTGATGCTACCATCACACCGCCCACCCAACCAGACGGCGGGTGGCAAAAGGGCGTGTCTTTGGCGTAGTGTTTAGATGCGCTGTGCCAAAGAAATGCCAAAAAGCCACTGCTGTGGTGGCAAGGAGTGGCATTTTGCCGGTTCTTTCTAGAGTGGCAAAGCACCAGATCAGGGCTGTGGCACATGGCCCTGATTGGGAGAGTAAAGGAGTGGCTTGCCCTTTCAGGTGGTTTGTTCAACCTCTTTGTTATCAACAGTTTGTAGGGATTGATTTTTCCACAAGCAGATTATTTTGAGAATGCCTTTCTAGGCTCTTTTCTCAGGCTGTAAAGCTTTAGCCATACATGTGGTCTTCCCAGTGGCATCACGGGGGTCTGTGTGTGTTCAGTGATGCTGCCTGCACTGAAGGATACCCCAGAAAGGGGATGACACTCAGTCAGACCCTCCCCTTTGCACTGTCCCTGCATGCATGGATTCTGTCAGGTTTTTATTGTTGTTGGGTTAAATGTTTTAGTATTTTAATAGCTGTAGTTGATAGGGGATTTTGCGTATGTTAGTAGTCATAGCAAATATGTTAGTTGGTATGGGGGGTTGGGACTATTGGTACCGCGCTAGGATAGTTTTGAGAAAGTTGGGCCATTGGAATGTAGAAGCCGTGGGATGCGGAGAGGAAAAGGGGGGTTGGCTTGATGGGGGGAAAGTGCTATGGGAATTGGCGATGGGTGCTGGTTTTGGCGCCAGGGGCATTGGGTGGAGTTTAATGGTTTGGAGGTTTAAGATATCATTTGGCTTGAAGGGGACAGTTCTGGCTTAAACACTGACTGGTGAATTTCTGACTATGTGTTCTCAATTAACATCTTGTTGGTTCAACTTGCGGGACTTATTGATACACAGAGTTCCTGAATTTGCTCAAGTCTGACACATCCGCTCCCATCCCCATGTGTGCTCCCACCCCACACTCCCCCGTGCATGCTCCCACTCTCACACCATACTGTGTTCCCTTGTATGCACTCCCACCCACTCCACACCATCCTTGTGCTCCCTCTTGTGTGCTCCCACTCCTGCACCACCCCATTGTTTTCCTCATCAGGAAAAGGACAGGATGGCACAGGGGAGGGAGTGCATGCTGCCCCTGGAAGCCATGCTTCCACACCGCGTAACACCCAGTGCAGGAACGCTACTGAGTCTTCCAGAAACATATTCCTGAACTGTGTAAAACCAAGTGACTTGCAGAAGGACTCCACTAGTAGCAATCAGTAATACAATTCAGGATTGCATCCTTTTAAACTTTTGCTGGCCAGAAGCTTTGCTATTGAGGTTCCCAAAGAGAACAGCATGCCGGTGACAGCTATTAACTGGGCTGACTTGGTAGGGATGTCAGCTCTCCGAGCCTCTCCCCAAACAGAGAATTCCCAAGGCATATTCTGTGTGGTTGCTGGTATGACCAATAATTCCCTTTGAGAGCTGTAAGCCTCTTGTTCACAGTACTGTACTGGGGGCCCTGGCCAAGATAGCTCTGGTACCAAGTTCAATCTAGTTCAGCAGGGAAATCCAAAAGGGTATCCATCTGTGGGAAGGAAGGTAAAGCCACTGAACAAAACACCAGTTGGGTGTGAAGCTGCCGAATCATCCCTTTGGTTAATTACATTGCAATGACTTCATCACTCCCCTCTTGCCCAGGTCTCAGTGAAACTGTGGCCCTGTGGCACACTCTGCAGATGACTACATGGGCACAGCTGGACTCATTCAGATCCAGTCTGAGCTGGACTGCATTAGAGCAAAAGTGGTGCCTTGGCAATCACAGCAGCTGCCCAGCCCAAAGGATGAGGCCTTGGGCTGCGGCCAGTGGATTTCATTACTTCGCTTGCTCCTTTCCTTAAGCACTTGTCCAAATCTCTTCTCCCTCTAAGGGAAAGAGATTATTTTGGCTAGATCTGGAGTCAAGGGCAGATTGGGAGTCATCATGCCCAAGGCCTCCACAGTAAAAACACCTGCTACAAGTTCAGCTCTTGGCCCTTGGGAAGGAAGGTAGGAGGGGGCAGCAGAACATGTTCGGAAGCAGCCTTTGCAATGCTCAGGGGACATGGCCCATTTGAACAACGTGTCACTAAAAGGGATGTACACAAAGGGCATGTTGCTGCTTTTGTAATGAAAATTAAGCAATAGTTTACTGCTGGAAATCAGTCAACTGGAACAAGAATCTTAGGGCTCCTTCCAGATGGGACAAATGTGTTGGGAGGTTAGGGTGTTTGTTGCTGTAATATATATATATATATAGAGAGAGAGAGAGAGAGAGAAAGAGAGAGAGAGAGAGAGAGAGAGATTCAAATGACACTTCTGTTGCTCCACACTATTTCCTGGTAATTCCCAGCACCATTTGCAATTTATCTCCCACCCTCAAGTGGGTTTCTTTTAGCTCAATAGGGACCAGCAAGAGGGTGTTGGAGCAATGTAAAGGCTGGGACTTTCAACCTATGTATATCAATCCCAAACCACTAGAACTTTAGAGTGCAAGGTCCAAATTAAGTTTTATTTATACAGTAAAAGTATTTGAACATCCACGCAAAGGCACACACACACACTCTCATACAAGAACTAACTATGTAACAGTAGGTATAACCGAATAGTGATTTGAAGGGTAGGGCAATGCTTTAGGAGGTTCAGAGGTCAGGCTTTCCTGCAGGAGGGAGGGCTGCAGAGCGGACTGAACCCAGATCGCTGTCAAGTGGGTTGGCTACTGATTCTGAGGAGTCTAGCTGAAATCTGACAGCATATCTGCCTGGTTTCAACTGAGACTGAGTTGGAACAAACAGCCATCTATATAGAGTACAAACTTCTCGAGGAAATTTCTCAGGAATTTTTATTACGTTTCTCTGGGGGAAGGAGAGTCAGAGTAGTATATTCCAAGGGGAAAGGAGAGTCAGAGAGGTGTGAAACTGAGCAGACAATAGATGCAACAGCCTAAATCAAAAGGTATTATCTTTGAATGGCAAAGCCCTTTGATTTCCACCCCTCTGACAAATGCATACCTTCCCCATCACCATATTCCTAATCAAAGGATCAACTTCAATTTCAAGACTGCACATTCTAGTGCTTCCCAGTTAAGTCTCCCTGATCTTTATTTGGGCAGACTATTTCCTTGCATTGGAGTGCCCTTCTGTGGATATGTGACTAGGCATCCCTTTTAATATTGAGTTTGATATCAAGTGTCAATTAGAGGTGATGGAGGGCTGATCAGTGTACTAACATAAGGCTCTCTTTTTGCCATCTGCTTCCAGTTCTCTGTTGTTAAAGGCTGGTCAATCAGCTATGTACCCAGGCAGACATCAGTGAACTGGATGGTGTCACTGCAGATACCCACAGCTCCCTCCCCATAAACAGTGCAAGACAGCCATTTAGTGACCAAGGGGGCAAGCCAGTATAAAAAGAAATGTAAATCAGAGTAACATTTTCAAAAGAGGCCTGTGTGACTCTGAAGTTGAAGAGAAAGAGAGAGCGAGCGTGTATGGCATAGTGGTTTTAGTGTTGGACTATGACTCTGGAGACCAGAGTTCGATTCCTAGTTCAGCCATGAAACCCACTGGGTGACCTTGGGCAAGTCACATTCTCTCA